CACACACACACACACACACACACATACATACATATATACAGCTTGTTTGTTTTCTCTACTGTTTCCTGGTTGTTGGTAAACAAATAAAGGAAATGCTGCCTCCTGCTGCTGAAACCTGATTTTCACTCCACAGTTTGGAGCTCAGAGAGAAAAAACTCAAAATAAACCTGATCTGTTAAAATATAAGTCTGTAAAATAAATTATTCATAAGGTAGATTTCCTAATTTTTCCTTCAAATAATTAAAGATAAATAAATAAAAACAAGTTTTCATGTTTGTCTCTGTGTCACTTGAGTTTATTTAAAGAAATAAAACTAAATGTTCAAAAGACAAATTTTTACTTTATTAATATTTAATGGTCAGACTTCAGTGTGTCTGCAGAGCACCATCATCTTCATCACTGCTCCTCCTCCTCGTCAGGATCAGAAGAAGCCGAGTTCCTGCAGCAGGTCCAGGTTCAGGTAAACTCGACAGAACGTGAGGAGAACACCAACAGAGGAGAACCCGATCAGAACCCACAGAACCTTAGCGCTGAAGTAGAGCGGCACCAAACTGCAAGAGACGACAAAACAAACAAAAGAGCTGAAAGAGCTGCACCGAGACCAGAACCGACCCAAACCATCAGCTGCTGGGAGCTGTTTGCTGCAGTGCATTCTGGGTAAACATCTCTTCAGTTTCATCAACTCATCTTCTTTAATTTACATTTAAACTTTTATTTCTTTGACCTTTTGTTGAGGTTCTTACCGTCCGTGTGCAGACTCAGAGTATCCCCTGAAGTAACACAGGCGTCCGTATAAATACAGCAGGCCGCAGCAGCTGGACACAGCTGCAGCACACACACACACACACGCACACGCACACGCACACACACACACACGGCTGCAGTGAAACTTGTGAGACTAGTGCCAACGACTCGTTGGACCTGAGGACTCACCTTGGCTGAAGAAGACTCCGGCTGTCCACAGCACGATGATGAAGATGGGGAAATACTCTGAACAGTTGACTCTGGACAGAACCGGTTCAGGACATGACGCAGTAAATACATGTTTTAAATCACAACAAGGACCAGTTAGAACAGCATCAGGCTAACAGTGGTGTGGCAGTGGCTGAGAGTCATCCCTAACACACACTCTGTAACACTTTGCTACAAGCAGGATAAAGTCAGACAGGTAACCAAGCTCCAGACTGTCACAATCAACAGACTCATTTTCCTACAAACGACATGAAACCAGAGACTGACTGAGCTCTGAAGATCCGCTCAAACTCCGGCGGTCCGTTGGTGCTGGGCGGGGAAACCGAGTACTTCCTCCTGGCATAGATGACCTGCAGGGAGAAATAAACTGCAGACAGAAACAGGTTCTAGTTTTTATTTAAACCTGATCAAACGTTAAAACTGAGCAAATCTGTTGCTTTAAGACTAAAGTTCACAGTGAGGCGGAAAAAAAAATGCAAATTAGATTCATAAACAAAGAAAATGTTTCAGAGCTAAAGAGACAACAGGTCCAACAGAACCAGAACCACCACCTCCCAGCATGCACCGCTCCTACCTTGTTCCAGGACGCCCAGCACCGTGACGGCGCCGAGCCCGACCACTGCCTCCTCCATCTCTGCAGAACCACAGGTGGCACCGACTGGCAACAAGAAGGAAGCTGGGGCYGAGCTTACCTGCAGGGGGCGGAGCCTAAACACACACCTGCTGTCAGCCAAACGAAGCTCTGAGTCGAAATGTTTCCTGTTTCGCTCGTTAAAAACTGGTCGGTCCGACAGAACCGGTCCTGCAGAGGTTCTGATGATAGCACAGGTCCAGGTGGAGTCTTCAGGTGTTCAGTATCGGGTCAGGTGCAGAACCAAGTCCAGAACCCTGATCCAAACAGAGCAGGTGAAATGTTCAGACAACAGTTTTAAATTTAAAGTCAAACGTTTTGATCAAACTGCTGCATGTTTAAAGTTTAAATATTTAAAGAATAAAAGCACGAAAAGAAAAACTTACCTGTTCCTCAGCTTCTTTCTCCAGTTTGACTTTTTATTTCACTTTTTATTTTTAAAAAGTTTGAGATGAATAAAACAAGAGAAGCAGCTTGTTTCTAATAGAACTATATTTACATAATACTCTTGTTTTACAGAGAACCATATCAAAAGTATAAAATACTTACAAAAATCCGCTGCAATATATAAAAATAACTTCTATCTTCTGCAGGTCATTAGGAAAGGTTTACATAAAAAAAATATATTTATACATGTACAAAACATGAACCCCAGAGAAACCGTCAGAAACTCCACAAAACAACAAATAAACTCATCAAGTCAGAACCGGACTGATCCGAGTTGAACATTTATCATCTTCAGAACCGGAGGGAAACTCTGAAAACGAGACTTTATTTCACAGGAAACAGTTTTTATCCTCTCAGGTAAAAACATCTAAAAGTAGTTTTAAAATATTAGTTCAGTTCCTGAGACGATCATCAGTTCAGTTTCTAAATCCTATTTAAATTTGAACCAAATATTACATTTTAAGTATTATATAAAAAGCTTTTATTTTGAAGGAATCGTCTTTTATTCTTATAACTAAACTAGAACATTTTAAATGGTTAAATATTTAACATTTTTAGACTCAAAGTTAATAAAGAGCTAAAATAAAGTGTCTGAGGGTGGAGTAGAGTCCGAGCAGCTTCAGCTCCACACAAATGAAACTACACACTAAAAATAACCTGGTTTGAATAAACACAACCAGTTATTGTTCCACATGTTTGTCTGGTTTCCATAAACTTCCCTCCAGTATGAAAATCGAGCGGAGATGTTTTGCTCGATAAGGAGATGAAAYGTTCGCAGTTTTTGGACCCGGCTCGGCCTCCGGCCTCCGGGTGGCGCTGTGGGGCGGGTACAGTGGTTCAGTAGTAGTCTTAGYGCGACTCGTTCTTTAACGGATCCTTTTCACACCTCAGCTCTGAGCACAGAGTCACACTCCTGGTGAAACAGAACCGGATCAGAACCAGATCCTTCCAACTGGTGACGCAGAAACAAGTTTGAAATGTGAAGAATTTAAAGGGTCTGTGACATCAWAYTTTAGTAATAAGTATGAACACATTTTTAGAAAGAGGACATTGATAAAATATTACAAAATAAATTTCATGTCGCTGAGATGAACAGTTGTTGAGATATTTGCCTGTGAAGTAACAGGAAGTGATGTCACAGGGGAGTGTTTGACTGTGAACAGAGCTTTGCTAACAGCTAACAGACTGTAGAGAAGAATCTGATGTTTAAGATTATTTTAATCACTATCAGAGATGAAGTCAGAGTTCAAATAATATTGTTTAATAAACAAAGACCAGAGTTTTATTTGTTAAGAGTTCCCCTTTGATGTCACTTCCTGTTTCACTTTGGCTGAGCCAAGTTCAACAGAAAATATAACAGTTATGAGACAAAATGGGTTAAATCGTGTGTATTATTCCAACTTTCTTAAATATAAAAGATGTTTTATTTGATGTTTTGTATTTGAAGAATATTAAAGTCACAGAAACTTTAAATTAGTTCAACTTAACAGAAAATAATAAACATTTATTTTCAGAATAATGAAACGAGTTTTAAAAGTTTAAAACGTAAAAAGTTATTTAAAATATGAGCCACGAGGACAAAACTTAAAATGTTTGATTTTTCTTTGTAGATTTAGAAACAGAAAATAAAATTAAATAAAATTAAATAAAGTGAATTTAGATAAATTCAAAGTGAACTTTGACCTTTTTTTTTTAATTGCTAAAGGATTTTTCTGCCTCTCAGATCCGTTTCACCAGGAGTGTTTGTGGGTCAGGTGACTCGTGATTTCACCGGAGCTCCGGTGAAACGCTCCGGTTGTTGTCGGCAGGGTGGTAAATCTACGGGTGGCTGGCGAGCAGCTCGTCCAGGTCGGCCATCCACTCCTGCGTGCTCTGGCCCTTCAGCAGAGAGTCCACCAGCTCGCTCTCGGCGGCGAAGCTGCCCGACGCCACGTTGTAGCCGAAGGAAAGCTGCTGCTGACTGGCCGCCCTGCTCACCTGGTAACCTTGGTTACACTGCAGCCCCTGGTGGCCGTTGGCCTGCGGCGGGCCGAACGCCGACAGGTCCGGCAGGTTCTGATTGGCCTGCTGCTGGCCCATGCTCTGAGGGGTGGGCGGAGCCCTCTGCTGGGCRGCGGCCATGTTCGTCTGCATCATCTGCTGCCCGGCGCTCAGAGCTGCTATCGGACGTGMGCCGGCGTTGAAGGGGGCGGAGCCAGACTGCATCTTGGGGATGCGTGGCTGCTGCAGGTGGAAGGGGTTGGAGGGGTTGTTYAGGGCGCTCCCTGCAGGCGTCTGATTGGCCAGCTGCTGCTGCCAGGCGGCGCTCTGACTCGTCTGCATGGACCGGTTCATGCTGGACGCCATGTTTGCCTGGATGGCGTTGGGCAGGCGGGCGGCGGCGGSGAGCTGCTGCTGCTTCAGCAGGGCGGCGCTGGCCTGGGGCTTCAGGTGCTGCGGGGGCAGGACGCTCTGCCTGTAGGGGGCGCTCATCGCTCCCAGAGCCTGGCGCTGCGGGTGGGCGGGGTGAAGGTTCATGTTGTTGTAGAGGCTGTCCACGCCGCCGCCGCCGTCCCCTCCCCCTGCCCCGCCCCCGCTGCATGACGGCAGACTGATGTCAGCTTGGCTCACGGCGGGGGGCGGCACCACGCCGCCTCCGGCCACACCCCCCTGACCCATGTTCATACCCATCATGCCCTGGTTCTGAGGGAACATACGGGACGAGGGGGCGGGGCCTCCCATGGAGCCGACGCTGTTCATTGGCTGAGAGGAAGCTAAGAAAAAAAAAAACAAGACGGAAAATTTATTTATATTTTTAAGATATTCAAGATTTTTACTTTTGGTCAATAAAAACCAGAACCAGAACCATCAGGTCCAAATGTTTGGTTCTGGTCTGAAAGGAGAGATGTTAACAGTCACCCATAAAAC